TCATTCATGTGTATTTGTTTTTACTTCAGAACATTGAACGGCTAGCACAGCTTCGTATGTGTGTACACCCGAAAACAGTACACAGGAAATTGATGAGTTGGCAGGAGACCAGTTAGTTGGAGACAACTGGGATAAGAACATTCTCCCTTCTTATCGGACATCTGATCGGAAGACTGTCTCGCTCCATCTTTTCAATATGTATGCAGTTGTGGACAGAGTTATACCATCACCTGCTGTTGGCTTTTGTAAGGTCCTTGATGCTACACAACTGGACGCTTCACATTTCATTCCATCTTGTGATGAACAGGATCAGCTGATGAAAGAATTGACATTCATAGTTGCAACAACAGTTGTCAACAACATACCAAAGCTGGAGAGATGTTTCAAGGCTATCTACCCCAAACACCTGCATCACATTTACAGTGCCACTGCTGGTGTCAAAACAGTTCAGGTATGATATAACTTGGTATTTTGGTCAGGTTTAATAATGTGATCATATTATTTAATGACGAGAGCTATTCAGTGTAAGTCAGAGATATTTGTAATCATTTCGTGTTGTTGTGTTAAGAGTTTAATGAGACTGAATGAATAGATTTTTGTTGTTTAATGAAGTAAATGAAATTTGCAGTATCCTCTGGGTTTATTCGACTGTAATGAAAACTTTACACAAGAACTCATTACCCTGCTGGCAAACTCACCGGAGAAGTATGTGCCAATGTCAGATGGTGATATAGTGGAGTCAGTCTTCTTGGGAGGTACGTCTCTCTCTCTCTCTCTCTCTCTCTCTCTCTCTCTCTCTCTCTCTCTCTCTCTCTCTCTCTCTCTCTCTCTCTCTCTCTCTCTCTCTCTCTCTCTCATAATGCAATATCTCATTATCACTACAAATGTATATCAACAAAACTATTCAATAATTATCAGGTACATTATTTCACAAAACCAAAAATACTTTAAAAAAAAATATTTCATCTGTCCTGCACATAAAGTTTGAATACAAACCAATCTCATTAAAATCAGATCTCAGTTCTCGCTACCGCTAAACAAAGATCTGAGGACATCCCATTACGGGTCACGTCAGACCGACCTTGCGCGAACTTTGACCGACCAATGGAATGACCAATCAGAAGGCAGCTTTCTCGTGCTTTACGGCACTAATTTCAAATTGGCGACTACGCTTCGAAACGTATTTTGACAAATTCTCGATTACAAATTTGAAACCTAAACAAAAGAACATTCTGGTATGGCTAACAGATAGTCTATATTCTATGGATTCAGTCGTTAAACCCGTAACTATCGTTCGGAGTTAAAGTTTTCGAGGTTGCATGATTAGAAATCACATTCCGACTGTCACTTTCATAATCTGGTAAACGATGCTCTGATTGGTCGGATGAAAGGTCGTTCTGACGTGACCCCTAATGGGATGTCCTCAGATCTTTGTTTAGCGGTAGCGAGAACTGAGGTCTGATTTTAATGAGATTGAATACAAACTATTGCTGTGTCCGGTGTGTTAATATACGTTTGTTTATATTGACAGGGGACAGGCTGACAGATGAGAGAGTGCAGGGGGCACAAAATGCCATGAGAAATGCCCCAACAGCAAAAGAGAAATTGGAAGGTTTCATCTCCAAAACAGAAGACTTTAACAGACTAATGAACTTTTTGGAGGTAAATATTAGGCACAATATATAATTGACAGCATCATCTTGTTTCTGTCTGGAAATATGTGTTCTTACTTATCTCTACATATCTGGTTTACATTTTTACCAGAGAAATATTCTTGTCTAGCCTTTTTGACAATAGGTCATTGCATAACATTGGAGGGACAAAATATATAGTGCATACAAACATGTAGAAGCAACCAAGTGAAGAAACTTGGTGCCAATCTCAACCATGCCTGAAGATTTTAACCTAATATTTAGTGAATATTTCATGTATATCATTTGTTTCATATGCTAATTATTGTTCGAAAAAAGTCATAAGTTTATATAAGTAAACAGTATGTTATTGCTTCCTTGTTTTGTTGGTTTTAGGCAGTGACCAAAATGACCTACAGCACGAAAAGTGTCAATGACAGAGGCACTATGCATTACTACAGAAATCTCTTGAATGCAAGGAACGTCAAGGGCAAGGTCAAGAATGCTTATCGACCATACAAGATACTATATTACACAGTATTGGAAAGTTTATGCCTTGCCCTCTTCCTGCAACATTTTGGTATTGAGGATTTGTATGCTGATATACCATTACCTGATGGTTTTTCTGACATGTCAGAGGAGGACAAGATCGGATGTTTGAACGACATCTGCAGCACAATTCTGAGGAAGTGGTTCTTCGACAGCACACAGGATGTATTTCATTACCTAAGAGAAGTGATTACTGACAAAGATCATCCAGAAAACTCCTGGCTGGCAAATCTGGACCAAGACACTGACCGAATCCATTGTCATTTTTGTGACAAATCATATGCATATGTTGGATCTTTGATGTCACATGAAAAGAAAGTCCATAATGTTGGAATTGAAAAGCCCCTAAAAAAATCAAAAGGTACTGGTGGTGATGAACTACACAGCTACATCCTCATGCTTTTCAAACTTTTGCTGTTGCACAAAAACTTGGACACAGCTGTGGACATGGGTGATGGCGAGAGGTCAGTGAGATCAGCAAAATATGAACTGCCAATCTACAACAGAACCAACAAGGTAAAGTGCTGTATTGGGTCCATTCATTTAACATCACTCTCTTCAGGGTTGTTGCCCAAGGAGCAGACAGAAAGGTTTGTTGCTAACCGATTCATCAATTTGCAAGGTGGCAGAAATAACAATATTGCCCTAGATGAGTTCATCGAGATGTTAAACAGAGACAGCAAGAATGCCTGTTCTGGGTACAAAACAAAGGAGAGCATCATTCGCCATTCAAAGGAGTACCCCCATCTTACAAACTCAATCAGACATTTCGATTCCTTGTGTGTTGTACGGAAGAGTAAAGGATTCCACCACTTGCCATCCTTCAAGGAAGATGTTGCAAAAGTAGCAAAGGATTTGATTGAAATTGATGCTCTGAACCCACAAAATCAGCGGACCCTTCACTGCAAGGAGCTTGTGACAGAAAGAGACCCTTTTGACAAGTGTTTTCATGGACTGTCAACAATGGTCCACAGACACAAGCCTTCTGTGCCATTTAGGAGACTCAGAGACCGACACTTTTAACAAGATATGCGGTTCGGGCAAATGTGCTAACTGACACTTGTTGGTATGATGATGGCATTATAACTAACTGTTGTATACCGGTACTCAAGGATAATAGACATGCTTTGTAAGTCATCACTCCAAAACAAAGATCACTCTTCACTAACTGATGATACATTGAGACTGTATATTATAAAGATATGAGTATATGTATTTATTGTAGTTTACAGTGGCCTAAACATTTTGTGGAAAATTTACACATTGTTTAAAACAGAAGTTTCCCTATACTCAAGATGCCTACTACGCTAATGTCTTACAGAGTAAGGGTGTGGTGATTCCATTCTGCAACTTTATCCTCTAGTCTGAAGCCAGAGTCCAGTAAAATTCTGTTCGGTCTAGTTATCTCAGCTAATAATCGTCCATGATAACATTAAAATCTAATGAAAATGGTGTTAAGGAGACATGTCCAGGCTAGTAGGTGTGTTGCGTGTCAGTGGCTAAGATACTATTATTTCTTATAAATGAAAATGAACATAACCAGCTCTTATTACACAAAACATGTATTGCATTCAATGCATTGATATGTTATGTTTCTATTGTGTATCCAAAGAAAACAATTCATGTGTGAACTTTGACCAAAAAAAACTGTTGTTTCAGTTACCTATTGGCTGAATAGGTAGAAAAAACACTTCTGATATAAGTGATCGTGGATTATTGTCACAACCCCTGTGCTCCTTCAGATTATGTAGACTGATGTTAACGTAACAGGTTTATGTTGTTCCATCCATATGTAACAAGTTTCCTGTTGTCACTTGAGAATAATATACACCCTTAATAGCACAACATTAAATGAAAGTAAGTGAATGTTCATGTGTTAAATCTCTTTATGTCACTTGGCATGATACATAGAAGTTTTGGTATTTTTGAATCAGAATCAGATAAAACTGTTATTTGCTATCTAATCTGAAAATATGAAAGCCGAATAATGAAGACAAATACATAGAATGTTTTCACACCACTTTTAGCAATATTGCAGCAATATCACGGCGGGGAACACCAGAAATTGGCTTGACACATTGTACCCATGTATGTAATCGAACCCGGGTCTTTGGTGTCATGAGCTATCGCTTTAACCACTGGACTACCCTACCACCCGACAAAATAGTACTGACTGGTCCAGACTTGATTAATTACAGACAGCCGTCATATAGCTGGAATATTGCTGAGTGCGGCGTTAAACAACAAACAAACAAACCAAACAACAAAATAGACATATTCTTAAATGTTAACGAGTCCTGATCTCCTACTGCTAAAACCCATTCCTGGTGTCCCCATGGCGTGATATTGCTGTAATATTGCTAAAAGCAGCATAACAAAACATTTCTCATTCCTCATTCGGACTGCTAAAAGTGTTTAGATTGCCAAAGACTGGAAGAGTGCAACAGTCAGATCTGATTTTAATCGTGGCAATAAGACACACATACAGATGTATCAATGCAGTTACAAATCAATGTCAAAACTATCATCAAAGTCTGAAATGCTTAGGTAATCGACGGTGACGTCACTGTCTGCACTGTCATTTGCGTCCTGACAACCATCTATTGAATGAAACATGTCTTCAATCGGCAGAGAAGTGCACACACCACAAGCACAATGTGTTGCACAAGCATCACAACATGCATGGACTCGAGTAGTTTCCTTCAGTTTCTCCATGTCTTCAGGGTTTAAGAAGGATGACATGATGGCTTCTCTTCTGCACCCTGTACACATAGTAATTTCTTTAACTTCCTTCACAACACTTCGTAAATGGTAAGAATTCTACAATAGTAGGGCTGCAGACGGTTTTCCATCTCTTCCAACCCGCCCGATTTCCTGGAGTAGGTCAACAAGTGTGTCGGATAGGCTAAACACTACTACACTGTAAAATGAAACAATGTCAATACCCATTCCAAGTGCACTTGTGGCAATGACCAATCGGAGGGTACCTGTTGGACTTCTTAGGCCTTCCATGATCTTATCCTTCTGCACAGAGGGAGTAAGTGAATGGTACATGTCAACAAACTCTACACATTCAGGTATTTCGGTGGTGATGTATTGAAATAAACGTGCGGTATCTTTTGTTGTCCTGCAGTAAATAATTGTCCTGGGGAAAGCTTTCTGTTTAGTATTCAATCCATCCACAAGCAAGCACATTGCAATTTCAATAGAAGTATGGACCTTTGATACGACAAATTTAATGTTTGGCTTGTTAGGGCTTACTGAAATTTCAACTGTATCTGCTTTCAAATTCAAAACTTTTTTCACTCTTTTCCTGATTTTTAGAGTGCATGTGGCACTTAAGGCCAAAACATTGGCATCAGGAAAGAGGGAGCGTAGCTCCCCAATGTAGGAAAACCATTTTCTGAAGGCTTTCTTCCCAGAATCATCTGTATCTTCTCCCTTGAAAATGAAAATGTTAAAAAATGAAAAGGAAATTTTCTTTTAAATATATCCACAGTTAATGGTCATAAACCATGATAAAATGGAAATCTGCTTCCAATGGCCCTCAGGATATTATACTGTATTATTAATTTATATTGATGAAAACCTGTCTGTCAATGACAGAAATTATTGTTGATGCATTACACTAATTTCGCCCTACATGTGAACCTACCATGTGGCTATTGTGTGAAATTCATCCACTACAATAGATGAAATATTTAACTTCTGTATGGCCGATCTCCACTCCGGATCACCAATTAAGGCTTCTGGAGAGGCATAGATGATATCAATTTCTCCATCCCTAATACGTTGGTCACTCACAGCACTAGCCGCTATAAAGATAAAACAAAAGACAGATGATTATTACAAGTACCTTTCCTGTCTTCAAATCATTTTACTCACTTATAATGCTCTATTGTTTAGGACTGCTATTTATTTTTGTTTAATTTTTTATTTTATTTGAATAATTCATTTCCATATCCCGTGGGAAGTACTGCCATGCAATCTCGGCCATCTATAAGACACTCCAGAATTTTCTTTTGTTCGGTTTTCAGATTTGGAATCGCGAACTTTGTCAAAATAGTTTCCAAAGCGTTGTCCGGTATGGAAGTCGCCATTTTAAACCAGTGCCATAAAACTGGAGAAAGCTGCTTCCTGATTGGCTAATTTCGACTTCCTGTTGGACATTTGATTGGTCGGTCGAAGTTCACGAAAGGTCGTTCTGACATGACCCGTAATCGGATGTCCTCAGATCTTTGTTTAGCGGTAGCGAGAACTAATATCTGATTTTAATGAGATTTGGAAATTAAAATGCTGTACGCTACCGTTATGAAATCCTTCAACGTCACCTTATTCCCGCCATTGACGTCAGAAGAGAGATTTTCCAGCAAGACAACGCAAGACCGCATACTGCACGTGTTACCATGGAATATCTTGCCCACGACAATGTTACTGTGCTGCCATGGCCCTCCAAATCGCCTGACATAAACCCCATTGAACATTTGTGGGATCTGCTAGACAGATGTGTACGACGCCGACAGCCCCAACCACAGACGGTTCAACAGCTGAACCATGCATTGCAGGATGAGTGGAGAAGGATTCCAAAACGCCAGATTCGACGACTCATACAGTCCATGCCCAGGCGGTGTAGAGCTGTGATCGATGCTCGTGGTGGTAACACCCGGAACTGACTTTGGCACAGTGGAATCTCAGACGCAGGCGTCCCTTAGAACATTAAAAGACTGTTTGTAGTGTAAGAAACATGTGCCTCATCCTGTGTAAAATTTGGTTGTTGTATGTTCATTATTTATTGTGTAATCCTATTTCATTAAACATGTAATGAAACACTGATTATTCTGTTATGCGATTCTTTTTTTTGGCCAGTGTATGTTACTGAATGTACTTAGGAGAGTTATGCCTCTGTAATTATTAACATCGCTGGTTGCGCCCTGTTTGTGAAGAGGAACAATGATGCCAACTGTCCAATTCTCTGGAAAATATGATCTCTCTAAAAGGATATTAAAAATAAGTTCCAAATATGGTATTAAAATATCTGAGGAATGTTTAAAAAACTCTGCTATCATATTATCATTTCCAGCTGCCTTATTATCTTTAAGGTTGGATATGCTGTCAATAATTTCCTCTTTAGATATTGGACATTCAAGAATATCAGCTGTTACACTGTCAACTCTATCTTCGACGAAACTCAGTCATCACGTTGAATTACATTGGTACACAGACACAATGATCCCGTTGAATTACATTGGTACAGAGACACAATGATCCCGTTGAATTACATTGGTACACAGACACAATGATCCCGTTGAATTACATTGGTACATAAATATAATGATCCCGTTGAATTACATTGCTACATAAACATAATGATCCCGTTGAATTACATTGGTACACAGACACAATGATCCCGTTGAATTACATTGCTACATAAACATAATGATCCCGTTGAATTACATTGGTACACAGACACTATGATCCCGTTGAATTACATTGGTACGTAAACATAAAGGTCTCACATTGGTACATTTCTATGATGATCTTACTGTATCATATAACTACATAGCCTGATGGTATGGTTGTCAAAGCTGTTGACATTCGTAACAGTTGGTATTTTTCAGAATGATGAGATCGGTCCTGCAAATGTTATCCGTCCCTTACTAACAAGTGACAAGGTATGGGTTCTTTTCATTTCCTTTAAAATAATATTGATAGTATATTTGCCAGGGTTTTGTGATTAAGGTACATGTGTTAATACTTTCTCTGATGTACGATTTTTTATGAAGATGCAATTACTAATGGGTCGGCCAAAGTATCATGGTACTCTGGAACCTGACAGCTTGACGAGTGTCATGGTACTCTGGAACCTGACGGCTTGACGAGTGTCATGGTACTCTGGAACCTGACAGCTTGACGAGTGTCATGGTACTCTGGAACCTGACGGCTTGACGAGTGTCATGGTACTCTGGAACCTGACAGCTTGACGAGTGTCATGGTACTCTGGAACCTGACGGCTTGACGAGTGTCATGGTACTCTGGAACCTGACAGCTTGACGAGTGTCATGGTACTCTGGAACCTGACGGCTTGACGAGTGTCATGGTACTCTGGAACCTGACAGCTTGACGAGCGTCATGGTACTCTGGAACCTGACAGCTTGACGAGTGTCATGGTACTCTGGAACCTGACGGCTTGTCATGGTAGCTCGCTAGCCAAGATTTAGGGATTGGAACATCTACGCCATGAATCTGTTAACGTGAAATGTATTTAAGTCAATTATATTTATTTATGTTTTATATTAAGATATCAATAAACCTGTCCGGTGGATCTATTGGCTTTGTTGTATATCATAGCAACATGGGATTAAAGGTCTCATTCTATTGTCTTAAACAACACTCAATAAACCAAAGATTCAGTCCCGCTTTTACACCGTTCTAAAATACATTTCTTCCTTCTTTCTTTTACTATGAGATTCCAATTGCTGCTGAATCCCCTGTTTCACTTCCCTTTCACTGTGATACTGACTAATGGACCCAGTGGGTATGTGGGGTTAGACCCCCAGCAGCATGCGGGTCACCACGGAGCAGGTGTCCGGGCTCGTTGACAATATTGATAGCGTGTCAATGTAAACAGATTCCGTTCGTCGTTGCTCAAAATATGGATCACTGGATTGTCTGGAGTCGACTATTCCAAGACCACCATCGTATAGCTGGAATATCGCTGAGTACGACATTAAACAACGAACAAACCAGCATAATTGGACTGATGGATGACGTCTTTCTGTTCTGTGGCTGAGGTAACTATTCAGACGATTCTAACTCCCTCAGCAATAACATTAATACTTGCTGTCGAGTTATTCGAGAAAATAATATTATTTTCAGGTTGAAATTTTAGAATGTCAGTATCTGTTTCGGCACCGTTATTGCTTTATTTTATTTTCCCGGCAGGAACACTGCTGTGCTGCGTTAGGCAACAAACACATTTCATGCAAACATTTTGTGAGTAGCGGGTGCTACCCGTAGAGCGGAACAGATGTACCCTTTTCACGAACACCTGGGGTTGTCACTGAAGTGGACCATTTTCATATTCATATTTTTTACCATTTCACCCAGTGCACTCTGTTTCCGCAGATAATTGATACTGATTAATCTCTAACGTTGACGTTATATATCATATTATTCACGACCACATGTATAAGGTGTTTCTAGGTTCAGAGAAGTAGTAGATTTCCATACCTGCAATAGGGAATTAATACGGCACACAACATAATTATGGCTTTTTATGTTTTGCTTTCGAAAGTGCATAATCCTTTCAATACGCAGTTTTGGACATATACACATGCACAAAAGTTAAGCGCCACCATTTTCATAGTCTCTTGATTTCACGTGTGGGAATCAGAAATACGAAATATGATGATGTATGACTGAATTAGGCTTCCATAGTTTCATGAACCCAAATTTGTCCAGATACCACAAAGAAAGCGTGATTTACGTGTTGCTGCAGTTCCCCTACCCTATAAATAGTGAAATTCAAGTTTCAGACACGTGGTTGCATTTTGCTCCTGTGCGAGATTCCCCTTTCAATAGAGGTTGAAAATCAGCCATGGTGAGGAGAAAGTTAACGAACGCTGAAAGATGGCAAGCGATAGGCATGAAAAATGCTGGCATGTCATGCAGGGCCATTGCAAGACAAATGGGTCGTCATCACAGTGTTATAACTCGTTTGATTGTCAAACATGGTCAAACCAATGATGTCAATGACAGGCATAGGTCTGGTAGGCCAAGAAAGACCTCTAACAGAGAGGATAGACGTCTTTTCAGGATAGTCAGACGAAATCCATTTGCCACTTCAACAGATTTAAGACTGCAGTGGATTACCCATCAGAGACTCTCGACGATGACCGTAAAGCGTCGCCTCAGAGCGGCTGGTTATAACGCCAGAAGACCAGTAAAACGTCCTCAACTGACTGAGAGGCACATGCAGAATAGTCTGATATGGTGTCGTGCCCGTAGTCGATGGAACTTGGCCAACTGGAGAAGGATCCATTGGTCAAAATATCGCTGGACTTTATGAAGAATGAATCCGTTTGCCTCAGAGAAGCATTCAACGACATGTAATGAGTATGAGGCGTAGGGTTGAAGCTGTGGCCAATGTCCGTGGATCATACACACGTTGCTGACGTTTCTGTCTTGCAATGTTTTCTAATCCTTCAATTTCTGGTCTTCGGTAAAATTCCTTTCTACTCATATTCTTTTGGAACACAAGATAAACGTGCTTTGGGACAACTTTTGCATCACATGAGGTTTACATATTCGGCTTATAACAATCGTACATTTCGTTATAATAGTCATCATTAAGTGCCAAAAGTAACAGCTCACAAATATGGTGGGTGGCGCTTAACTTTTGTGCATGTGTATATAAGTGTTGTCTTCTCAAATAAAACAGTAATGGCTTTTATTTGAAATTATACAGGTAGGTTTTTTATGCTAGGGTATCAATGCCTATAGTTGAGTGAAGTGTAAATATTGGCTTTGACTGATGGGCGGAACAAACCCAGGTTGTTTGGTTAACTGCTGTCATTCATACATCATTGGTGTGTCTACAGTTCCCATGGTCTATCTTCCCTTTATGTCGAACAAAGGTCCTGCAATTCCAGCCCTTGGCGTCTGCATCTCACAACGTTTCAGGTACAATCGAGCATGTTTGTTTTTTTCAAAGATTTCAAAGAGCATCATACAATTATTTCTCAGACTTTGTTTGATGAAGGTTACAACATTCAAGGTCCCAGTAAAGTTTTATAGCTGACGTGTGAAGATATTTCTTATGAATATGGAAAGGGTTTTGTTGTTTTTGTTTGAATGTTGTAACCTTGATCAAACTACTTTTGAGCAAGAGTCGTATGAGTAGATATATAGACAACGAGCAACACGTGACCTTCTTAGATCCGGCCGACCACGTATCACTACTAGAGCACACGAAATATTCATACGGCTACGCCACTTGCGTGAAAGAACCACCGTGGCCACCTCTACAACTACGGCAATACCATGAATGCGTAGGATATCAGCCCAGACAGTGATGAATCGCTAGACGACCAGTTCTAGGTGTCATTGACGGATCTGCATCCTCGGCTGTGATGTGAAAGGTGTCATGGTCACAGAATAAGGCCAAGTTTGGTTTAGTGACGGGTCACAATTCGGTATCTGATTCCTTCCATGGGACGACGATGATAGTCGGATGTGTTATCTATGGTGGCCATACAAGATATTGAGAACCGATGACCTTTACTTGGAAATCTACTGTTCTGTGTGTGCAATATGGGATCTGAGTCAATCACAATGATGTATGCCGTTTTTGAACAATCGATTACCATCTGTTGATATATAAAAGTTACATCCAAACATCACTTTTACGTTTCTTGTTTTGCAGAGTATACTATTTAGATATGATAGAAGCTAAAACTGCTCTTCAAAATAATAAGAATGTGACACTGTTTAGTATACATTATGATTTAATCACGATAATCGTCTGAAAAGAAATTACATCAAAACATGATATTTTGTATCCATGTAATTTATGAGATCACTTGATGGTAACGGTTTGGGTAAAATGAGTGAAATAACCACATGGGTCAGTGGCAGTGACTGTTCCATGGACAGAGACAACTTTATCCTGGTCTTTAAGCGTCAGTGCAATCTGTGTGTCGTTCGTCACAACCCTCTCGAGGATGTCGGTGCAACCTTCTGTGCTTCCAATACTGACTTCGTAGTGAAACCGATTCCAGTCAGAGAGAAACACACCTGCCCATTTTAGAATCGCTTTATTACCTTCTCTGGACAGTTTCAGTTTAGCACCGTCTACAACAAATGAAAACTCAATTGTTTTATGTCTATTTCTCCTGACGACTACTTGCAAATATTATCAACACTTAGACCTCAATAGCATTTTAACAGTCATCTTTCAAACTTTTGACATTTAGAAAGCAGCAATTATTATTGTTTAAGGTTACAAAACTTCAACTTAAACAATATTCGTTCACTTTTGAAATGTCCACTGCGCATCTTTTTCTATGCTTTGCACTACCCATGTCTATATCATTATGTTACTAATGGCGTGATTACTCGTGATATGGAGAACTACGGCAATACCAGGATTGCGAAGGAAATCAGCCCAGACAGTGAGGAACCGCTCATGCTCTGAAGGTATTCGCGCTGGACAACCAGTTCGAGGTATCATTTTGACGGACCTGCATCGTCGACAGGGACGTCAACGATGTCATGGTCACAGAGCGTGGCCACAATTGCATGGAGACAAGTTTGGTTTACTGACGAGTCACGTTTTATGCTTCGCCGTGCTGAGAACTAACAGGCTGATTGTCATTCTAGAAATAGGTGAGTACATAAGAAAACAAACAACTTTATGAACCAGAAGATAGTATCCACAAAAGTGTATGTTGTCTTATTTTCTTATGCGGAAGCTGCTGACGTCGTGTTGTGTTTACGAACCTGCTAAAGCCGGCGGATGCTCATGGTATGTGAAGGTAAGACGTGTAACGGCTGGTTCAGCTCCAATGATGCTGTCAGGGTACACCTCTGCATGATATGTAGTCATGTTCTTGAAATGCAAGCCAGAGAATGTGACGAACTCAAACGAATTGTCCACATTGGCCAGATACGTGGTAGACTCGTCTGTAACTTTGATCTGGAGGGTGTACAAGAGGAGTGTGCAATTGTTGATAAACGCGGCAGTCAGCAGTATTCCTGTTTGTTTACGTTATCAAATAACCAATCTAATCTGGGTCCGACAAACCACTGACTGAGCAACAATCCACACCATCGAAAATGACGACATGCGGTCAGCCAAGTCGCACTCATTGACTCACTCACTCACTCACTCACTCATAACATATATTCAGCTGTTGCATCCAGTTAGTCAGACGACCAGAACCTACCACAGTTTTTTGAATATCCTCCCTTCGCCAATGCACTTTGACGCTCTTACTCCTCTGACAGATCCTGGATACAGAGGGTAGCGAGAAGCCTGTCAGAAGTTCAACAACAGCTGTCGTAGGCGATGTTGTGTCCCTCATGACAGTAACGCCGTCAGTAGTAGCTGTTGCCATCAATCCAACCTTGTTGAAACATCGGACTGTTGAGAAGACTCTCACACTTGTCGATATATCCGCTAAGTTAAACTTTGCTGAAGTCTCACCTTCATGGACAATCTCAAACGTTTTAATATCGCTTCCCCCTGTTGTCGACCCTGTAACACATATTAGTTGATTATCTCCTGTATGTATATTACATATATCACGTAACACACAATACCTGAGTATATCATATATCTATACGACATATATCACGTGACACACAACAGTTCAGTATTTCATATATCTATATGACATATATCACGTAACACACAATACCTGAGTATATCATATATCTATACGACATATATCACGTGACACACAACAGTTCAGTATTTCATATATCTATATGGCATATATCACGTAACACACAATACCTGAGTATATCATATATCTATACGACATATATCACGTGACACACAACAGTTCAGTATTTCATATATCTATATGGCATATATCACGTAACACACAATAGTTCAGTATTTCATATATCTATATGACATATATCACGTAACACACAATAGTTCAGTATTTCATATATCTAAAAGACATAAATCACGTAACACAAAATAGTTCAGTATTTCATATATCTAAAAGACAAAAATCACGTAACACACAATAGTTCAGTATTTCATATATCTAGAAGACATTAATCACGTAGCACACAACAGTTCAGTATATCATATATATATAGAAGACATAAATCACGTAACACACAATAGTTCAGCATTTCATATATCTATATGACATATATCACGTAACACACAATAGTTCAGTATTTCATATATCTAAAAGACATAAATCACGTAACACACAATAGTTCAGTATTTCATATATATATAGAAGACATAAATCACGTAACACACAATAGTTCAGTATTTCATATATCTATATGACATATATCACGTAACACACAATAGTTCAGTATTTCATATATCTAAAAGACATAAATCACGTAACACAAAATAGTTCAGTATTTCATATATCTAAAAGACAAAAATCACGTAACACACAATAGTTCAGTATTTCATATATCTAGAAGTCATAAATCACGTAGCACACAACAGTTCAGTATATCATATATCTAAAAGACATAAATCACGTAACACACAATAGTTCAGTATTTCATATATATATAGAAGACATAAATCACGTAACACACAATAATTCAGTTTTTCATATATCTATATGACAGATATCACGTAACACACAATAGTTCAGTATTTCATATATCTAAAAGACATAAATCACGTAACACACAAAAGTTCAGTATTTCATATATCTATATGCAAGATATCATGTAACACAATAGTTCAGTATTTCATATATCTAGAAGACATAAATGACGTAGCACACAACAATTCAGTATATCAAATATCTACATGACACACATAACACACATTAGTTGAGTGTATCATTAATCTATATCACACGTATCAAGTAATACAGAGTACCTGGGGATATCATGTATGTATATCACACATATCACGTAACTCAGGATATGGGAGCACGGGTGGACCAGTGGCCTCAGGCGCCGCGATTCGCTGTGCAGAGGTACGTCGCTTGGGCACGCACGAAACCTATGATTTTGGGATCGAATTCCGGTTCGCCCCGATTATGTTTCTAGATTTGTCAGCACCATACCCGTGCCCGTGGGTTCCACCGAAGTGGTAAACGTTTGAGACCTGCATCACTTCGGGCATTCCTCCCACATTAAGCTGACACGCCGTGATATGGCTGGAATACTGTTAAAAGCAGCGTTATACCCAACTCACACACACATAATTCAGGATATCATGTATGTATATCACACATATCACGTAACACGTAGTAGCTGTGGATATCGTGTATGTATATCACACATATCACGTAACACCCAGTAGCTGTGGATATCGTGTATGTATATCACACATGTCACGTAACACGCAGTAGCTGTGGATATCGTGTATGTATATCACACGTCACGTAACACACATTAGTTTAGGATATCATGTATGTATATCACACATATCAAGTAACACGCGGTAGCTGTGGATATCGTGTATGTATATCACACATGTCACATAACACACAATAGTTTAGGATATCATGTATGTATATCACACATATCACGTAACACGCAGTAGCTGTGGATATCGTGTATGTATATCACACATGTCACATAACACACATTTGTTTAGGATATCATGTATGTAAATCACACATATCAGGTAACACGCAGTAGCTGTGGATGTCCTGTATGTATATCACACATGTCACATAACACACAGTAGCTGTGGATATCGTGTATGTATATCACACATGTCACGTAACACACATTAGTTTAGGATATCATGTTTGTATATCACACATATCAAGTAACACGCAGTAGCTGTGGATATCGTGTATGTATATCACACATGTCACATAACACACATTAGTTTAGGATATCATGTATGTATATCACAAATATCAAGTAACATGCAGTAGCTGTGGATATCGTGTATGTATATCACACATGTCACGTAACACACATTAGTTTAGGATATCATGTATGTATATCACACATATCATGTAACACGCAGTAGCTGTGGATATCGTGTATGTATATCACACATGTCACATAACACACATTGGTTTAGGATATCATGTATGTATATCACACATATCAGGTAACACGCAGTAGCTGTGGATATCGTGTATGTATATCACACATGTTACATAACACGCAGTTGCTGTGGATATCGTGTATGTATATCATACATGTCACGTAACACGCATTAGCTGTGGATATCGTGTATGTATATCACACATATCATGTAACACGCAGTAGCTGTGGATATCATGTATGTATATCACACATGTCACATAACACGCAGTAGCTGTGGATAGCGTGTATGTATATCACACATGTCACATAACACGCAGTAGCTGTGGATATCGTGTATGTATATCACACATGTCACATAACACGCAGTAGCTGTGGATAGCGTGTATGTATATCACACATGTCACATAACACGCAGTAGCTGTGGATATCGTGTATGTATATCATACATGTCACGTAACACGCAGTAGCTGTGGATATCGTGTATGTATATCACACATGTCACATAACACGCAGTAGCTGTGGATATCGTGTATGTATATCACACATGTCACATAACACGCAGTAGCTGTGGATATCGTGTATGTATATCACACACGTCACATAACACGCAGTAGCTGTGGATATCGTGTATGTATATCACACATGTCACGTAACAGACATTAGTTTAGGATATCATGTATGTATATCACACATATCACGTAACACATCGTAGCTGTGGATATTGTGTATGCATATCACACATGTCACGTAACACATCGTAGCTGTGGATATTGTGTATGCATATCACACATGTCACGTAACACATCGTAGCCGAGGATATCATGTATGCATATCACACCTATCACGTAACACATCGTAGCTGAGGATATTGTGTATGTATATCACACATGTTACATAACACGCAGTAGCTGTGGATATCATGTATGTATATCACACATGTCACGTAACACACATTAGTTTAGGATATCGTGTATGTATATCACACATATCACGTAACTCGCAGTAGCTGTGGATATCGTGTATGTATATCACACATGTCACGTAACACGCAGTAGCTGTGGATATCGTGTATGTATATCACACATGTCACGTAACACACATTAGTTTAGGATATCATGTTTGTATATCACACATATCAAGTAACACGCAGTAGCTGTGGATATCGTGTATGTGTATCACACATGTCACGTAACACACAATAGTTTAGGATATCATGTATGTATATCACACATATCACGTAACACACAGTAGCTGTGGATATCGTGTATGTATATCACACATGTCACGTAACACACATTAGTTTAGGATATCATGTATGTATATCACACATATCAAGTAACACGCAGTAGCTGTGGATATCGTGTATGTATATCACACATGTCACGTAACACACATTAGTTTAGGATATCATGTATGTATATCACACATATCAAGTAACACGCAGTAGCTGTGGATATTGTGTATGTATATCTCACATGTCACGTAACACACATTAGTTTAGGATATCATGTATGTATATCACACCTATCACGTAACACGCAGTAGCTGTGGATATCGTGTATGTATATCACACATGTCACCTAACACGCAGTAGCTGTGGATATCGTGTATGTATATCACACATGTCACATAACACGCAGTAGCTGTGGATATCGTGTATGTATATCACACATATCATGTAACACGCAGTAGCTGTGGATATCGTGTATGTATATCACACATGTCACATAACACGCAGTAGCTGTGGATATCGTGTATGTATATCACACATGTCACATAACACGCAGTAGCTGTGGATATCGTGTATGTATATCACACATGTCACATAACACGCAGTAGCTGTGGATAGCGTGTATGTATATCACACATGTCACATAACACGCAGTAGCTGTGGATATCGTGTATGTATATCACACATGTCACATAACACGCAGTAGCTGTGGATAGCGTGTATGTATATCACACATGTCACATAACACGCAGTAGCTGTGGATAGCGTGTATGTATATCACACATGTCACATAACACGCAGTAGCTGTGGATATCGTGTATGTATATCACACATGTCACGTAACAGACATTAGTTTAGGATATCATGTATGTATATCACACATATCACGTAACACATCGTAGCTGTGGATATTGTGTATGCATATCACACATGTCACGTAACACATCGTAGCTGTGGATATTGTGTATGTATATCACACATGTTACGTAACACGCAGTAGATGTGGATATCATGTATGTATATCACACATGTCACGTTACACACATTAGTTTAGGATATCGTGTATGTATATCACACATATCACGTAACTCGCAGTAGCTGTGGATATCGTGTATGTATATCACACATGTCACGTAACACGCAGTAGCTGTGGATATCGTGTATGTATATCACACATGTCACGTAACACACATTAGTTTAGGATATCATGTATGTATATCACACATATCAAATAACACGCAGTAGCTGTGGATATCGTGTATGTATATCACACATGTCACGTAACACACAATAGTTTAGGATATCATGTATGTATATCACACATATCACGTAACACGCAGTAGCTGTGGATATCGTTTATGTATATCACACATGTCACATAACACACATTAGTTTAGGATATCATGTATGTATATCACACATATCACGTAACACGCAGTAGCTGTGGATATCATGTATGTATATCACACATGTCACATAACACGCAGTAGCTGTGGATATCGTGTATGTATATCACACATGTCACGTAACACACATTAGTTTAGGATATCATGTATGTATATCACACATATCAAGTAACACGCAGTAGCTGTGGATCTCGTGTATGTATATCACACATGTCACGTAACACACATTAGTTTAGGATATCATGTATGTATATCACACATATCAAGTAACATGCAGTAGCTGTGGATATCGTGTATGTATATCACACATGTCACGTAACACACATTAGTTTAGGATATCATGTATGTATATCACACATATCACGTAACACGCAGTAGCTGTGGATATCGTGTATGTATATCACACATGTCACATAACACACATCGGTTTAGGATATCACGTATGTATATCACACATATCAAGTTACACGCAGTAGCTGTGGATATCGTGTATGTATATCACACATGTCACATAACACGCAGTAGCTGTGGATAGGGTGTATGTATATCACAGGCACATAACACGCAGTAGCTGTGGATATCGTGTATGTATATCATACATGTCACGTAACACGCAGTAGCTGTGGATATCGTGTATGTATATCATACATGTCACGTAATACGCATTAGCTGTGGATATCGTGTATGTATATCACACATATCATGTAACACGCAGTAGCTGTGGATATCGTGTATGTATATCACACATGTCACATAACACGCAGTAGCTGTGGATAGCGTGTATGTATATCACACATGTCACATAACACGCAGTAGCTGTGGATATCGTGTATGTATATCACACATGTCACATAACATGCAGTAGCTGTGGATATCGTGTATGTATATCACACATGTCACATAACACGCAGTAGCTGTGGATATCGTGTATGTATATCACACATGTCACATAACACGCAGTAGCTGTGGATAGCGTGTATGTATATCATACATGTCACGTAACACGCAGTAGCTGTGGATATCGTGTATGTTTATCATACATGTCACGTTACACGCATTAGCTGTGGATATCGTGTATGTATATCTCACATATCATGTAACACGCAGTAGCTGTTGATATCGTGTATGTATATCACACATGTCACATAACACGCAGTAGCTGTGGATAGCGTGTATGTATATCACACATGTCACATAACACGCAGTAGCTGTGGATATCGTGTATGTATATCATACATGTCACGTAACACGCAGTAGCTGTGGATATCGTGTATGTATATCATACATGTCACGTAACACGCAGTAGCTGTGGATATCGTGTATGTATATCACACATATCATGTAACACGCAGTAGCTGTGGATATCGTGTATGTATATCACACATGTCACATAACACGCAGTAGCTGTGGATAGCGTGTATGTATATCACACATGTCACATAACACGCAGTAGCTGTGGATATCGTGTATGTATATCACACATGTCACATAACATGCAGTAGCTGTGGATATCGTGTATGTATATCTCACATGTCACATAACACGCAGTAGCTGTGGATATCGTGTATGTATATCACACATGTCACATAACACGCAGTAGCTGTGGATATCGTGTATGTATATCACCCATATCATGTAACACGCAGTAGCTGTGGATATCGTGTATGTATATCACACATGTCACATAACACGCAGTAGCTGTGGATATCGTGTATGTATATCCCACATGTCACATAACACACATTAGTTTAGGATATCATGTATGCATATCACACATATCACGTCACACATCGTAGATGAGGATATTGTGTATGTATATCACACATATGACGTAACACAGGATACCATGTATGTCGTAAGAGGCTTTGTTGATGCATGTCATCGTATCAGACCTCGGATTAGAAGGTCCGTGGTTGGAATCCCATAACGGGACTCGGAGATTTTATGGCCGCTTCATCATGCAACACCAGTAATTGATTATATTATGTACTTATATGGTGTACGTCATGTAACATACACTTGTTGATAATATTATATAGGTTTATCGTGTATATCATGTAACACACAATAGTTGATTATATCATGTATGTATAACGTGTACAATATATAACATACAGTAGTTTATTACATCCTGAAAGTATATGACGTATATCATGCAACTTGCACATAATCCAGATGAATGACTAAACGCATTTTAAGAAATATTCCAGCATATAGTTAGATGCCTCTCCAAAAGAAGAATTATAAATAATAGGTTAATCGTTTATGTATTCAAAGGAGATAAAGAGACTTTCAAATTTAAGTAACATACCAATGCTCCAATCACAATGATGTATATGTGACTCTTCGTCTTGTACATTCCAATTGACGTACACATCTCCAACCTTTACGAAGTCAATATCAGAACCTGAGAGAAGAAAGAGGTAAATGGATATATCCATGTGTGTGTGTGTGTGTGTGTGTGTGTGTGTGTGTGTGTGTGTGTGTGTGTGTGTGTGTGTGTGTGTGTGTGAGTCATATCAGTAGGCTAAGATAATAGTATACTAAAAGAAACAAATAAACATCTGACAATTACAGGATTCCTTTTAAGGCAAATACCTTTTCGATTTCTGTTGTGTGCAGGGGGCTGTATGAACACCTGAACCACACCTGTGTCTCCGCATCACACACCGGAACCCCATCCCAAAACTAAACCTCAGACCAAACCCAAACCCAAACCCCAGCCAAAACCCAAACATCAATCCCAGCTCAAACTTAAACCCCAGTTCAAACTCAAACCCCCGCACTAACCCAAACCCCAGTCCAAACCCAAATCCCATCCCAAACCCAACCCAAACCCCAGTCCAAACCCAAACCCCAGCCCAAACCCAAACCCCAACCCTAACCCAAACCCAAGCCCTAACCCAAACCCCAGCCCAAACCTCGAACCCCAGCCCAAACCCAAACCCCAGCCCAAACCTAAACCCAAACCCAAATCCCAGCCCAAACCCAAACCCAAAACCAAACCCCAGCCCAATCCCAAATCCCAGCCCTAACCCAAACCCCAGCCCAAACCCCAGTCCAAACCCAAATCCCAGCCCAAAACAAAACCCAAGTCCAAATCCCCAGCCCAAACCAAAACCCAAGTCCAAACCCAAGTCCAAACCCAAGTCCAAACCCCAGTCCAAACCCAAATCCCAGCCCAAAACCAAACCCAAACCCAAGTCCAAACCCCAGCCCAAACCCCAGCCCAAACCCAAACCCAAACCCCAGCCCTAACCCAAACCCAAGCCCAATCCCAAATACAACCCCAAGCCCAAACCCCAGCCAAAACCCAAACCCAAGCCTAATCCCAAATCCAAGTCGAAACCCAAACCGAAACCCCAGCCCTAACCCAAACCCCAGTCTAAACCCAAACCCCAGCCAAAACCCAAATCCCAGACCGAAACCCAAACCCCAGCCCAAACCCCAGCCCAAACCCAAATCCCAGCCAAAACCTAAACCCAAGTCCAAACGCCAGCCCAAACCCCAGTCCAAACCGAAATCCCAGCCAAAACCCAAACCCCAGCCCGATCCAAAATCCCAGCCAAAATCCCAAACCCCAGCACAAACCCAAGCACAAACCCCAGCACAAACCCCAGCACAAACCCAAATCCCAGCCCAAACCCAAATCCCTACCCAAATCCCAACAGAGTACCGGAGCACCTATCTAAAGCAGCTGAGGGGTATGGTCCATATAGGGCAACATGACTGCTTGAGTCATCCTGATCTGCAGCTCCCTAGGATCAGATGAGACGAAGCTGACATCCAATCCCTCGTTCAGCTGATGGAGGCGAGCTGGTTGAATCCTTTCAACACTGACCAAGGAGACCTTGTCAGTCTGTCGAATGCTACTGCTGCGCCGGAAGAAGTGGCCAAAGACCTTCTCGGGGCTCGCAAGATAGGAGAAGATGCAAACCAGACCTTCACACAAGAACGCTTAGAAGCATCTGACCCATCTGTACCGTTCCACGCCAGGATGCAAAAGAAGAATCTGAAAACTTTCTCAGACATCAGGAAGAAGTCCCGCAGCAAAGGCCGTGCCAAAAAAGTGGTCCTGAAAACTGACAGGAAATTATTTGGTCAGATGATCCTTGTAGCTGAGAGTCGAAAACTGCAGATGCATGTGTTACTGGCTCATCCTCTGGGGCCTCTGCCATGGGCCCTCGCCAATGGAGATGGGTCCCTCCACAAGACGAACAAAGCAGCCCTGGCCAGGGAATTGGAGAAGACAGTTTCCCCAGCAGAAGATTTCCCAGATCCATCCGCAACTGTAATAGATGGAATGAGCTTCATCCAGAAGTTGAACGGTAATGAGAAAACTTTCGAACAGCTGACAGAATCAGCCTTGTCCCTTGTTTTGCATGAAGGCAAGAAGAGCCAATGCATCGATGTCGTCTTTGACGTGTACAAGGAGACGTCCATTAAAGACACAGAACAATGTAACAGGGGGTCAGACACAGGAATCCAATTCAGAAACATTGCATCTGGTCACAATATTCAGCAATGGAGAAAGTTCCTGAGCAGCTCGTCTAACAAGACAAGATTGATCAAGTTCCTGGTGGAAGAATGGAAGAAAGCAAGACAAAGAGAGAAACTCGAGAACAAGGTACTGTATGTTACCTGCGAAGACATCTGCTATAAGATGACCAAAGAAGAGTGGGAGGAGGCTGGAGAGTTGAAGTCTTCTCAAGCAGAAGCCGACACCCGCCTTCTGCTCCATGCTCTGCATGCAGCGGAGCATGGCTACAAGAGTGTAGTCATCACTGCTGATGATACTGATGTCTTGGTCTTGACCCTCGGCGTCAGCAGCAGTATCGCGTGCCGTATATTCCAGAAATGTTGGACGAAGAGCGGCATAAGGTACATAGACACCCGGAAGCTACACCAGGCAGTGGGAGATGATGTCTGTAATGCACTCGTCGGCATGCATGCGTTCACGGGCTGTGATACAATCAGTGCCTTTGCTGGCCGGGGGAAGATATCAACGTTGAAGAGGATTAAGTCAGACAAGACCTACCAGGAGGCCTTCAGTGAACTTGGTCGTTCATGGGAGGTATCAACGGAATTGTTCCAGGGGCTGCAGAAGATCACCTGCAAATGTACCTGCCTTCTGCCCAGACGACCGAGGTGAACAGACTCAGACACCAACTCTTCTGTGCCAGACGAGGAGAGGTGGAGTCAAGCCAACTGTCACCTTGTAAAGACTGCTGGTTCATGCATGCTCTCCGTGCCAACTACCAGGCTACCTTCTGGAGGTGATGTCTGCAGACCCAGCCCATTGTCCCAAGCCCCAAGGAGTGTGGTTGGACAACAGATGAGGACGGAAAGCTGACAATTCAGTAGATGCGTGGTTCACCTGCACCAGATGCCGTTCTCCAGCTGCTCTCCTGCAAATGTGTCCCCTCATGCAAGCTGCCAGATTGTTCTTGCCTCACCAATGGCTTGAAGTGCACAGATATGTGTAAGCTATAAACCTGCACCAACCAAGCCAAGGAGGATGAACCACAGTTGGAGCTTTCAGATTTGTCAGACTCTGATGATGAGCTTGACGGTGATTAGGCCAAGTTACTCAACTATGGACACATATAATTCAATTTTCAAGTCAATTTTCAAAGCTACTAGTGTTCTGATTGTGTGCCCAAGAGATTAACCATGGTCTCTATGATGTTTTTATTCTGTATGTAATCGTTTCATTGTCAGAGTAAATTACATTAACAAAATACGTGTTTATGGCTGTTTTCCTTAATGGGTTAAAAGTACTAATAAGCTACCAATCTGCGATGGTTATCATATCAAAACATAAACTAGACATATATAGAATGTGAAAAATTGCAACTAGAATTTGCCACTCTGAGTGGTACCGATAAGTGAAATTTTGGTCTTGGCTCATGGACTAATACACACCTTCTCCATCATTGATGTGTGCAAACGTCGGAGGAGTCATGTCGGCAGTGATGGGGTCAGGGTGGGAGACAGTGGTGAGACCAGCAGCATTCCTGGCTGTGATGGTCAGGAACAGTTTCTGTTTGTGTGACAGCCTCAGACCAGAAAGAGTTCCGTGTGCATTTCTGCGGACACTCTTAAAGCCCTGCAATTGAGTTCCTCCAGAGGTTGTACCTAAATATAATACAAAGCGTTAATGCAAGATTTTCTGTCGAAACATTTCCACTTAACATAAAGGGCAAAATAGCTGTGGAAATAAATGAATGAACCACTGAAAAACAGTGCTCGCGACAAGAGCAAGCATGTCTGCCCTACCGCTAGCATCCGCCGTTCATCCAATTTGCATAAAAAATATAAATGCCTAACGCAGTACAGTTGTACTCCTGCCATGCGACGTCAGCTTGTAAACAAACCAGACCATCAAGTGCTCGATAAACCAGAAAATCCAGAGTCGCGATGGTACTATAAATAAAAAGTTGAATGAAGTTATCACCTGATTCCAATATCAAACATAAAGATTTCATCAAGCTTAAAACCACAAATATGTTATTCCGATTAAAACATAATTTCACATAGCCACCAAAGGCGTCTTGTTCTTCAAAATGTATTGTGCTCAAAACACATAGAATTGAGTAATGACTTAGACTTACCTACTGCCCATGTATATTCTGTGATCGGAGACGATGGATCTTCAAAATGCCACGAAGCATGCACAGACGACCAATGGGATAAAAACACTGATTTAGTCACCAAATGGCTGTCCTTCTCCAACATGGTCATGTTTCCAGAATATTCAATCTCTTGAACTGTCACATGATCCAACACAATTTCCATATTTCGGGACACTGTTTCTATACAGAGACCCGTGGCCTTGGTATCAGCTGTCATGTGATATGTGTAGGTGTACCATAATACCGATGACTGCTTCTTCTTCTTACAAACACCTTTACATAGACGTGGATCTAAGCTGAACGTGAACACCTCCCGACCTATAGTAACACTTCCTTCCACAGCCTTGTGGTCAGCAGTCAAAGTCTCCGGATATCCAACATGAACAGTTACTTTGTATTTTCTCCCAACTGCAAGCCCAGTAATATTCTGCTGTATTCTACCACTTACAGCAACTAACGTTCTCCCGTGTTTGGCATTAGGGGCGTCTGGTGTCAGTGTTCGTATACAGGAGTTTGGCCCGGCCTTCCACGATAGCAGTGGGGAACAAACAGTATCAGACAAATTAGTTCCAATGACTTCTTCAAAGGACGGGTTTAAAACCATGTTGTCCCCAAGATATGCAACGTCCATAACTGTGGGTGGGGACGTATCAACTACTACACCATCAGATACAACCACTCTTGATGTGTGACCAACAACATCGACAGCATACACCTTGGTCCAGATGGATGTGTCTGAGGTGAGTTAATATACATGTTTATCGTTTATGAAATACCATATATATTACGATTAGCAAAGTTAAAAGCATAAAACTACATGTAAAAACACCTGGCGTTACCATGAACATAAACTGATGGGCATAAAAAAACTTCTCACTGAGTTGAATGTAAGTAACAGTAAAACCAAGACGAATAGCGTTGTCAAAATGACTGTAATCAATAAGGTCAATAAGGTCATCATCAGCAAGTATGATGTCACCTGGTATTCACCACCGTTCTGCTGAAGAGAGTTCTCACGGACTTTGTTTGCGTGGTGTCTGGTCTCTTATCCACCTGTCCAAATGATCTACAAAGAGTTTTATTGGATTCATATCCTTTGAACAAGCAGGCCATGGCAGAGCCTACACGTTGTTGTTTAGGTAGTCCTGCACAATTCGTTGTCTTGCTTATTCGTGCTGCACAATTGATTCCTAGGGCTGTCAACATAAAATGGTAATGCAGCTGGACAACTTTATCTCTATAGCCTTGATCGTTCTTGTTGCTATTAATGTTCACAAGGCGCGTTTTCTGATCACCGCAAATGCGTCCCAAATCCATCATCGTCTTCATATGAATGTACCTATTTGATGCATCCAGGTGTCAGGCGTTCCCATCTACGTCTCTTCACACACACTATATTCTATCAACCCAATGAAGAGCAAAGCGACTTTGGTCTGTGTAAAGTAGTCGCGCCCAGTACGTCGCTGCCAACGTTATACAGTTTTCTTTCATTGCCGTCTCCGAAGTAAATGTCTCGGGGCCTCGAAAGGAAGAATAGGTTGTGACATCTGCAGCATGTAGACGTCGTAAGACCGTGCGTTGACATATGTGTCAACCCAATGCCTCTCAATACCAAACTACCCACAGGTTGACAATTTCCCCTCTGTACAGGTGAACAAGTCATCATCTTGTTTGACAGTCGAGGGCGTAAGTATCATAGACAATAGATAAAAGTGACAAAACCCTTTCCATACTTATTCAGAAATCTCGATTGTATGATTCTGACAATATCATGCGCATGTGTTTATGAATCACTATCAAATTGTGATGATACCAGGTGTTCGTGATAAGGTGAGTATATCCTCCCCCATCGGTGGAACGCATCACCAAACACATGCAGAGGCAAGTCTATAGTTTACTAACATGGGAACATATGGTACAAGTCACAATTGGTAATTGCATCATTTTCGTCACCGATGTGTCATATTTGGAAATGTCTACCATATCTACCATTACACTTTTCTCAGCTTTACTGAGGCCTTGAATGTTATAACCTTATCAAACAACTCTTGGCTCGTATGACGCTTTTTGAATTCTTAGTACAAAGAGCATGGTCGATTGTACTTCAAAAGTTGTGAAATGTAAACACCAAAGGCTGGAGCTGCAGGAATATTGCTCGACATGAAGTGAAAGTTGATGAATAGAAAATTGAAGTCATTCCCCTTTTTATACAGTCTTGTGGAGAGTGCTTTGTCATTGTAACTGGTCGCCTTTATTTCTAGTGAAGTGAAAGGGAATTGGCTATTTCGTGGTTGTTGAATGATCATCAGATCATCGATATACTTGAAGCTTAAGTAAAACTGTTTAGCCACATGACTCTCTTTTTATTATAAAGAAACAGATCAGCAAGAAGGGTAGCACAATTGGTGTCCATGGGGATGTCTACTTCTGCCGAAAAGTCTTACCCCAAAATTCTACATAGATGTTATCAGTGAGAAAGTCAAGTATTTCACACACTATTCGCTAAGTTAACTTCAGTTGACATTTGCTGTCATTGTTGACAAGTTGTCCTGAACCTGTGAAGATACATATGTAACTTTATCTATGGGCACCACGTTTTGTTACACAGTTGTGTCATGTGGGGTAGTGATGTACAAAGTTGAAATATCAAATGATTTGAATTGAATTGAACATGGTTCTTTTCTGAGATTGCAAAATGTCAAGCAAATCTTTTTTTGCCATTTTCTCGGGATTGCACGTGGAAGTCGTATCATACACCCCTGTAATGTTTAGGCGAATGTTTTCAGCCTGGTTGCGTTTGGGAGATTCATTATGATTTTAATTGAAACACTATTTTTCAGTGAGAAATTTCTTTTGACCATCAGGGTTTCTTTTCGAAGCTGTTTTCACCTGTTAACACACATGGATTTAAAGTTTCCTTGTGTAATGTTATCAAAAAACATAGCGCAGACCGACTTTTATCATTAGTTACATACCATCAGCAATTGGTGAATCTAGGCTTGTTCTGGCTGATGTATGGAGCCCCACATCCTGCCAGTCCACAATGCTGCAGTCGGATGTGTCATTGGTTGCACCAACACACCAGAAATACTTGATGATTGTTGAATCTGTGTCAGAGAAGCCAAACCAGGAGGAAGAGATATCTTTTGGGGAGGACTGGAAGTCAATGTCGTGGAGCCCTTGAGAAAGTTGAAAAAGAAACTAAAGAAAGTGATCATCTTATTGATTCATTACATGTGCTTAACCACCCATTTGTTCATTGACCATCCCCCTAAAGCATGCCCCCCCCCCCCCCCCCACCCCCACCCCACACACACACACACACACACATACACACCTCGTATTGTATAACTGTCTTTCCGTGTAGATCGCCACTGTTTTCACCCACCCACCCCAACAGTAAATTCCAACCCCATCCCAACCTTCCAATCCTGTACATTTATGCATCCCCTCCCCCTCCGACCTTCTGTTGGCTTACTCCCCTCCCCTAACGTCGGCATCATGTACATTTATGTATTTACTCACCCTCCTTGTATTGGCTTACCGTCGCCATCCTGAACATGTCCAGATACTGGAGGTTTTACATCAGGCTGTACCCCATCTGAATGAGACCAGGACACTAACCCCGCCTTGTTGTAGACCATCACATTGGAGAAGTAGACAGTGTTGGGTTCTAGAATCAACTCAGCTGCTGTGTATCTCGTCTCTGTCACGTCCGTTGAGCCATGAATACTGTGAC